TATTGTATTTTGTATTTTATTTTTCTCTTAATTCATATTTTTGTAATTCCATTGATATCAACAAAGGGTCTCAATGCACGCACTATGAAAAGCCTCCCTAAATGCACATCTTCCCTTGAGCCTAACTAATACAACACTTATAGATTTTTACCTCCCTAAATGCACATCTTCCCTTGGGTCTAACTAATATAACACCTATAGATTTTTACCTCCTTAAATGCGGTACCTCTCTAAATGCACGTTTGACTCAATTTTTGCATATGGTCCCACCGCAATGCATTTAGATAGGCCTGACTGTATGTAAATATGCAAATAGAAAGAAAGTGAATATCAACAATAAAAAGAAAGAAGACAAAACATTCACTAAAAGTAAGAAAGTCAAAGCAATTTATACAATAATTGCCGATAAAATTCATTGGCTTTATCTGCTTAACCGATTCTGCATTTTTTTTTTTCCAAAAAAAAAGAAGCTTATTACCAAAATTTCGCCTGATAAATTATCTGCGTTTCAATTTTATTGCGCTTTTCAATTTACTGTGATCAGGAATCCGATAAATGCAAATATATAATTGGCTAAAGATTATTTCCAACCAATCACAGATTTGCATTTATTTTAGATTTCTTGATATATACGTGAAATTTACTAGTGCCGACAAGCGAAAACAGGGAATTGTGAGTTTTCCGAAATTAATTTTACAGATCAAACTCCGAAAAATGTGATTAACACACCATATAATTATGTTGTGCTTAATTTAAATTTATCAGGAATCGGATCAGAAAGCGGAGCCGGCAAAAATCGAAATTGTTGGTTTTCGCTTGGCAGCACTCAAATGTTGAACCTAATATGAAATCTAACTTTAAGCTTTCGTTCAACGATTACTACGTATACTTGATTTTATTGTGTATAACTTGGTTATAGCTAAGGTACTTTTACTAACATTTTTATATCATATCCTCTAATTGGTTATCAAAATATTGAGAAATGACTAGTCATGAAAAGACAGTCGTCATGTGAAAAAAAAGTTGTTATCGTTATTGTTAAAGCCGAAATAAAACCAAAACTCTAATTTCAAATAAATTATTGAATTAATAAAATTCACATTTCAACTAAATTACATTATTTCAATTAAATTACATTCTATAATGATTAAACCCATTACACTGCAAATGAAAATAACCCTTAATTACATTCTACAAAATTAAATCTTTTATACAGAAATTAAAACTAACCCAAGTGTTTGTGCATATGGCACCAACATCCACCGGGATACAAAATAAAATAACATCCCAAACGCAATGGATATCGGTAATGCTGGTAGTGCTTTTTGGTAGATTGCAAGCAGAAAAATAGTGGCATTGAGACCCTTTGTTGATATCAATGGAATTACAAAAATATGAATTAAGAGAAAAATAAAATACAAAATACAATA